GTTTTATGCGCACTACCATTTATCCTTATGAAAGGTAGTTTCGTTTGGCTGGTTTAGCACAAAAAAAGGATAAGTGCGTTTCCAAACAAAGTATATCAATTCTATTTGCCCCCACAAAATAAGTACCCCACCCCTTTATCAAATGCATACTTACCTCTGACCTGTAGAGGCAATGTTTACATCTTTCAATGAGAATGTGTTTTCTGTGTAGGCCACTCCTGCATTGGCTTCAATGAGACCGCTCACATGTGCCCCCAGCCTTGTGAGCCAGCCCATAGAAGTCTATGGAGATGTACTGCATAGTTGTAGCCAGCGCAAGGCATATTTTTTCCTCTTAGGTATAACATCACAAGAGGCCACAGCCTCCTGGGATGGAGGTAGGTATCTGGTGATAGTGCAGTACTTCAGGTTGAAACATTTCTTATTGCTGCAAGACCTTTGTTTCTAGTGCTAATACAATGTTTTGTTTTTATATTTCCTTCAAGTGCTAAATTCTTTGAAGACTATTTGAATTTATGTTTTAAACTGTTCCTCATGCTTCTAAGGGTTCATTCACACCAGGAGCACTGGGACAGCGTGAGACAGCCTTGCCCAGTGCAGTCCCAACCAGGGGCGGACTGACCATTTGGAAACTCGGGCACTGCCCGAGGGCCCAGGGTCAGTAGGGGGCCCCATGAGATGCCCCCGGTACCTTTTTCATAGGCTTTTTTGAGTTTGGGCAAGGACACAGGGGCCCCATGATCCCCTATTGCCCGGGGGCCCCATGAGTTGTCAGTCCGCCCCTGATCCCAACACAAGACAAGGCAAAAAGCCTTGTTCCCTATGATGATAAGTCACATCACTGTGTAGCATTGATGTGAACTGAAATAAAATGACTGCATTCGGTCCTTTTTTCTTAAGTTCATCTGGTTGTAATGCGAATTACAAAGCCGCTGTATGAAGAACACTTAAAGTGTTACTAAACCCACCACTGTAAAATCAATCTGTACATGCCGTAAAGCATGCTTGTTATACTCACTGTGGAACCTAAGGATTAATTCTTTGCATTGTGCAAAAAGCTATTTCATCTTGTCTTCTCTGATCCTCCCCTTCTTTTGCTGTCCCCAATCCATCTGCCATAGTTAGAGCAGTTAGTGGAAAATCTGCACATGCTCTGTTTGGTGTGTATTGCTACAGAGATTTTTTTTTTTTTTAGGGGGGTTGTGCATGTGATCGGCACAGGGCCAATCAGCGTTGTCCAGACAGAGGGTCAGGGGTTATGCAGACTCCTAGGACAGTCAGAAGAGAATGAAAACTCCTCCTACAAGATTAATCAGTGCTTGGCTGGACACTGATAGAAGTCACATGACTGCTATATACTGATGATAAGAAAAAGTATTTAGCTGTTTATATTTACTAAGATAATTGCATTTTCATGTTCTTTGTACTATGGAAAACTGGATAACTGTAACTTTTGACATTTTAATAAAGTTATAACAAAAAAATGAAAAAAGCAAACAGTGTGTTGTGTCGAGATGCTGGTGGCTTGCTGGTGTGAAGGAGCCCTAAGCCCCTTACAATGCTGATTATTTACTTATGTTTTAACATATCCATTTCTTTTTCATTTGGAAGATCCCAATAGCAAAGTTGCAGTTATAGCTATGAAAATATATTTTTTAACTGAATGCAAACTCACAATAGGTCACTCAAACTAAACTTGACTCCTAAAATTCATTTCAACGCCAGAACTTCTTCCACTTATACAATACCAATACAAATTATAGAGGATATACACATTTAGAAGATCCTCCTTATTAGGAATTAAAGATTGATCAACCTAAATAGGTAACGCAGGCCCCACTTATGTTTATAAAGTCCCAAGTGTAGTCGCCGCACTCTACCTGTGAGATTAATGCCCGGGTATACACCCACAAAGAAATATCTAAACAAATCCGAAACAGGTATAGAGGCACTCATGGGTATTGTGGTGGAGATAAATCAAAGCAACAGCATTTTATTGTCAATGTTTCTATACAGCTCAGTCCTCAATCTTGAGAAAGACAGACTAAGCTCCATCAAAACATTGATAACAATACGCTGTGCTTTGATTAATCTCCATTGCAAAACTTGTATATACCCAAACTGAATCTTTTTTATTAGTGTTTTGATATCAAATGTATAACTATACCCATATAGTTACAGTGTATATACTATAACACAAACATTTATATAAGTTGGACTGTTAATGGGTATTTTGGTTCCTTTGGCAAGTTAGGCATTGTTATTTTCTTCTTTCCTCATGTGCAGACCTACTGCTTATTTGTATTGTCCCATGGGACAGTGAGTGTGAACATTCAGGTGATTGCAAGTACTTTTTAACACTTCAAGAGTAATAAAACCTGAATTAACTGAAAATACCACTTTAGGAATGAAAACAAGGGCTTGACTACTTTCTTCTGTGCCACACCATTAATCACTGATGTTAATCACATTTCAGAACTGATAGTGAGGCACAGAAGGAGGCAGATCATCCATGACTTTCCTTCTTCAAACTGGTATTTGCATGTAAAACAGCCAAAGTTTTACAGCATCTGAGATATTCAAGAACACATTGAATGCTAACCAGGTACAACTTATCAGAAATAGTTTAGAAATATTGTACTCTTCAGGCAGTTTTGGTCACGTTTTTGAGGTCTGACCTGTTTTTATTTCTTTTTGCTCAGTTTACAGTTTGCAATATCAATGTAAGCAATAAAGGGTTACTATAATAGGAAATCTAATATTGAGCACCTTGTCACTCAACTTCATCAGGCAGAGGAGGCTCTGGCATTTGAAAGTCGAATGTCAGGATCCAATGGGGGCTCCTCAGGACCCCCAGAGATCAATCTGAATAACAGTCCCAGTAATTGCAGTTATGACAATGTACCTAAGGTTTACTGCTACCTTACAAATCATCTGTGTTCACTTTAAATCAGGTGTAAAGTAAATTGACTTCAGCTAAAAGAAACTGATGAGATGAGGTTTCTGTGGCTCCATCCTGGAATTGTATCTCAAAATACAACACCATAAATGACTTCCTGAAATTAACTGCTTGTACAGTCCTTCACAACAAGGTATCACTTTCTAAAGTATACCGTATATGTGTTAATGGGATGCAGTGTAAGTTGATTATAATGTGCACAGCAGCCATATATGCCTAAACAACATTAAAACCCAACTGTATTACTGCTCAAGAGCATAATGGTTATTCCTTTTTTAAATGAAATGTGAATTTCAGTTACAGTGAAAATTATTACTATAAAAAACTGTCACATGAAAGTGTTTCTCTAGGTAATACATGCACTGTTGCTGTACTGCAATGCCTTTAGGGAAGCATTGAGAGAAAAACTAGGAAAACTCAAGTTACCAGATTAGTAAATTTTTTCTGGGTGAATTAGATTTCTAAATTAGCACAATTCTTGGAAACATCCACAGTTAAAGTTCACCTGTTCTGAAAAAAATATATAAAGGTTCATTTAGTATAACTGGGGTGTAAAACATCTGGTGCAGCTATGCATAGAAACCAACCAGTTTCCAGTTTTTTGTCAAAATGTCATTGAACAAGCTGAAATTTGAAGCTTATTGGCTACCATGTACAGCTGCAACAAATTGTGCACTCTCCAGATTTAGTAAATCAGCCCCATAGGCCTACACTATTGACATCACTCTGATATTGCGAATTATCTCATTATTTCATATTCTGAGTAACTTAACCAAAACAAACATGTATCAGGTCATTTTAGAAATGAGTCAGAGCTCTTGATTTTCATAAGGTCCAGGGCAGTGGTGGAAAATGTGTCAAGGAGGCCAGACAACTTGTATTTGTAAAAGGAGAAGCAAGCCTATATTTTCCTGCAATAGTACATCACCTTATTTATCATTCCCAAGGCAAAACAAGCAGTTTACCTTCTTTTAGGCCTGTTACATATGGAAGTAAAAATGCTTTAGTTTTTTAGGCCTCTTGCACATGGGCGTCATAATTTACTGATGTTTACTCAGTAACGTGTGACGCCTGTGTGCTAAGGGCCAAAAACTGTGTGTAAAGACCTGAGTAATGTAGAGTATAGGGGATTTAAAGGAGTGTAAGCATATAGATAAGTATAGATGAGTAACTTTATTCTTCAGTACCAGTATTGTGGCCCCTTGCATATGGGCATCGCAAGCTCCTGAGTAAACATCAGTAAATTATGACACTTGTGCGCAAGGGGCCTAAATGAGTAAATATGTGAGAAAATTATTGCACTCAAATGAACATTTTTCTGTTTTTGTTTTATTGCTCTGTACTCAACGCTGTATTACTGATCTTTACTCAGCTGTGTGCCAAAGTTTAAAAAGCTATAGATAATAAGAAAAGAGCTTTTATTAAATATAAAGATGAAAGATCGCTATTACCATTTAAACATTACAAATAATATAACAGAATATGCAAAAAGGAAATAAAGGCCACAAAAATTTAAAACGAACAACAGATTACAAATTATAGCAGGACCAACCCCCAAAAATTCTTCAGATACATTAATAGTAATAAGGTCCGGTCCGAGCATGTAGGCCCTTTACAAAATAATGTAGAATGGGTGACTGAGGACAAAGAAAAGGCAAATTTATTAAATACCTTCTTCAGCTCTATGTATACAAAGGAGCATGGGGGAGCTCTTGTCCATAATGGGCATGGTAATGACACAGCTCAAGATGATCCACATTGGCTCACAAGTGATATGATCCAAAAATATTTAGACAGAATAAAGGTGAATAATTCACCTGGACTGGATGGCATACACCCAGGGGTCCTTAACCACCTTCCGCCCGCCCTATAGTACAATGACAGGCGCAAGGTGGTTCTCTCGTTCTGATAGGACGTCATATGACGTCCTACCATTCTCACTGCTCATGCGCGGCTCAGGGAGCGCGCAGTGTGGCGATCGCCGGTGCGCTATGTCCCTCGGACACAGCGGATCACGGAAAGAGCCGAAGATGTCGGCTTGGTCATGTGATCAGCTGTGTCCAATCACAGCTGATCACATGTAAACACGGAAATGCCGGTTATCAGCATTTCTTTCCTCTCGAGCTGTCACGCTGACAGCTCGAGAGGAGAGCCGGTAATCGGCTTTTCGCGGAGGGGACATGTACACTGATCATCAGGGCACTGATGATCAGTGTGCCCTGATGATCAGTGTGGCCCCAGAAGTGCGACCTGTCAGTGCTCATCAGTTCCACATGCCAGTGCCGATCAGTACCACATCAATGCCACATATCAGTGCATACCAGTGCACATCAATACCACATATCAGTGCCCATCTGAGCTGCCTTTCAATGTCACCCATCAGTGCCAGTCAGTGCCACCTATCAATGCCAATCAGTGCCACCTATCAGTGCTGCCAATCGGTGCCACCTATCAGTGCCAGTCAGTGTCGCCTATCAGTGCGCATCAGTGCCGCCTAACAGTGCCAGTCAGTGCCGCCTATCAGTGCCAGTCAGTGCCGCCTATCAGTGCCAGTCAGTGCCGCCTATCAGTGCCAACTATCAGTGCCAACTATCAGTGTCATGTATCAGTGCTGCCTTTCAGTGCCCATCAGTGATGCCTGTCAATGCCCATCAGTGCAAGAGAAAAATCACTTATTTACAAAATTGTATAACAAAAACTAAGAAAAAACTTTTTTTCCCCAAAATTTTCAGTGGTTTTTGGTATGTTTAAGAAAAAATAAAAATCCCAGAGGTGATTAAATACCACCAAAAGAAAGCTCTATCTTTCTAAAAAAAAAAAAGATAAAAATTTCATATGCGTACAGTGTTGCATGACCGCGCAATTGTCATTCAAAGTGTGACAGCGCTGAAAGCTTGAAATTGGCCTGGACAGAAGGGGGTGTAAGTGCCCTGTAGGCTAGTGGTTAAAGAATTGAGCTCTGTCATTTCAAAGCCATTGTTTCTAATTTTTAGGGACTCTTTAAGGACTGGCATAGTACTACTGCATTGGTGTAAGGCTAATGTGGTGCCAACATTTAAAAAAGGGTCAAATCTGTACCAAGTAATTATAGACCTGTTAGGTTAACTTCTATAGTTGGGAAGATACTGGAGAGTTTAATAAAAGACCACATAGATGAGTTCTTGATGGAACAAAAATATTTTAAGCAACAGACAGCATGGATTCATGAAAGACAGAAGTTGCCAAACAAATCTGAATTCTTTTTATGAGGAGGTGAGCAAAACCTTGGACAGAGGGGTGGCGGTGGATATGGTATACTTGGATTTTGCAAAAGCGTTTGACACAGTTCCCCACACATGGCTAATGTGTGAGGTAAACTCTATAGGCTTGGAAAAATCTGTATGTAAATGGATAGAAAACTGTCTAAAAGGTCATATTCAGAGAGTATTGGCTAATGATTCATACTCTAAATGGTCTAGGGTTGTCAGTGGTGTACCCCAAGGTTCAGTGTTGGGACCCTTACTTTTTTATATATTTATAAACGATATAGGGTCTGGGATTTAAGATTCAATTTCAGTCTTTGCAGATGACACCAAGCTGTGCAGTGGAATAACGCCCTTACAGGATGTCTCCAACTTACAAGCCGATCTTGTAATATTTGTGTTAAACAAACATAATAATGTTATCTTTAAAATATAATATTCTTAACATGCTTACAACTTCGGCCTTGGATTACAGTAATAATTGTATTATTCTTACATCAACCCTAATACTTTTATGTGCTAGATGCAATAGGGAAATGCTGCACTCAATCTTTTGGATACAAGGCATTAAAAAATAATACTTAAAATAAGATTAGATATGATTTGCATATCTTTTTATCTTAAATATGATTCTTACATTAGGCTAGATTTAAAAAATGAAAAATGACAAGCAAACCTTTTGTTCTAAAATCATTGTAAACAATATTTTACAATATTTTAAATCTATCTCAGTTGATAGAAAATGTAAAATAGATCTCTCCCCTAAACGTTGTTCTGTTCAGCGTAGAGTGAGACAAGGTTTAAACGATTAATCTCCAGCCAAGTCTTTACAACTTTTTAGCAGGACCCTCAAAGCAAGATCTTTCTGTAACCCCAACATGACTGTGACAATCCAAGTGTTTTTATTTATTTATTACAGGTACTTATATAGTGCAATTTACGCAGCGCTATACATATATAGTACATTCACATCAGTCCCTAACCCTCAAGAGGTGTACAATCTAAGCTTCCTAACTTTCATATATACTAGGGCCAATTTAGACAGGAGCCAATTAACCTACCAGCATGTCTTTGTAGTTTTTAGCTTCTCAGATCACCTGCTAGTAAGAATTTTCCAAGAGTTCAATCAAGTGTTGTGATTGTAGTTAGGGGTTCTGGATTCAATTTCCATCAAGTATTCCATCTGCATTTAGGTTGAATGGACATCTGTGTTTGCATGAGGTTTCATCCTGATAAATTAGAATGTGAGGACAATCTTTTCAATGGAGGCACAAAATCATACAGTATTTTAGCAGAATAGAACCTCTATAGGGTTTTTATGGCTGTCTGTGTTGATGCAGCTTAAAAAGGAGATAAAATGTAGGTCAGAACTGCAGCTCAAATAAGCGTAGTTTGAATTATCTCAATTGCATTTCAAGCTAATCTCAAATGGTAGCACAATGTTCCTGAAATCTAGCCACATGTACCCTTTCAAACAAGCCCAAAAACCATTAAAACAGGCAATATGGAGTTTTATCCTAAGTTCCTTATTTCCACTTCCTTAAATAAAGGGTGTCACCTGTACATGGACAAAAGCAGCAATCGGCTTTAACAAAGCATGTCCCCCACATTACCATTTAGTATAGAAGTTTGCATTAAATAGTATTATTAATCCAAGTACGTTGTATTTCTGTGTCTTAGACTCTCTATTGAACATACTAAAGATGAACTCAAAGCGGCAGTAAACCGCCTCTAAAAAAGAAAAAAAAATCCCCTGCAAGGTAAAGGCATAATGTGCTAGTATGCATCGCATACTAGTACATTCTGGAAAACTTACCTTAAAACGAAGCTCTCCAGCGGCACACTGTCATTGCTGTAGAGGCTTCTATCTGCACCCGGTCTTTCTTCTGGCTTTGCAAACTCTAGCCATCTGGCTGGCCGAGCCACGATAACATCACTCCTACGCATGCGCATGGGAGTCTTGGGACACGAAACAGTGCTCTGAAGGAATGACACAGGTATGTCGGTGCACATTTAGGAGATATTCTTTTTACCTACAGGTAAGCTTTATTATAAGCTTACATGTAGGCAAAGATTAACAAAGTGGCTTTACTACCTTTTTAAGCAAATGACATTATGAAGTCCTTTAAGAAAAGCATAACAGATATTCTGTCTTTACCAAATCTCAGAAAAGTGTTTTATTAAATCAAGATACTACAAGGAAAACCACAAGGTATAGCTTACATTGCATTCCTGAATATTACTGCAGTTCCCTGACATACTGTAATTTTCAGGAAAACTTTTCTAAAATATCTCAAAAACTAGGTTGGGAATAAGGGCAAAGTTGCACTACCTTTGTATTATTACAAAGCAGAGCCACTTACATTTTCTTCTTTTATCCATCTTTCATACATTTGAAAAAGAAAGAAGGCTCTGCACTGGCAAATACACTGGTATACATGTAGCAAGGGGAACTGATGAGCATATAGTTTCCTGGTCATTCTTTTATTTTTTGAGGATGTATTATTATTCTAGTCTTTCATAGCCTCATTTTAAGAAATCATTAAACAAGGTCCTGTATTTGGCTGGTCATCTTCTAGATGAAGAGTAATTCCCACTGCGACAGGAATGGAACAGCGAGACAAGTGCAATCTGCATTATTTGAGGATTAACATTTAATTTGCATTTATGAAGAAATGTTCTTCTATATGCATGCAGTTTAATTGGTATTATCTCAATCATTCTTTTCTAAATCTGTCAGCATATGCTCTCTGACATTGCTTTTTAAAAGTTTCTAACTAATAGACAATGTATGCACTGGACAGCTTAAAGAGACCCTGCACTAGACCAATGCACATATTTGATACCACACCACAGATCATCAAGTGTTGTCCAAAAGATTTATTGAAGAAAGATCACATCATAAAGGATATAAAGCAACTTTTCTGAAACGTGCAGGCATGCCTGACAAAGAAGTTCTGCATGGTCCTGAAACATTGCAGTATGTCTGTTGCAGGGGCGGACTGACCATTTGGAAACTCGGGCACTGCCCGAGGGCCCAGGGTCAGTAGGGGGCCCCATGAGATGCCCCTGGTACCTTTTTCATAGGCTTTTTTGAGTTTGGGCAAGGACACAGGGGCCCCATGATCCCCTATTGCCCAAGGGCCCCATGAGTTGTCAGTCCACCCCTGGTCCGTTGTGATGATGATCATGTGATCATTCTTCAATAAATCTTTTGGATGACACTTGATGATCCATGGTGTGCTGACTATGTGCATTGACTTGTGATGTTTCCAGTATCCAGCTAGTTGTTCTTGTAGCACCCGCCACCTTTGAGCCCATTCCTGGAATGTGTGCTATGGCAATATTGATTTTACCTGTACCAGACCAGTCATTTCAACAACAATCTCACCAAAAGATTATGGAGACTAGATATGGTAACTCTTTGGAACAATGGAGAGTGGAGGGGCCTGAATGACATCACGGCGTCCATACGTGATGCGGCAAGTGTTATGATTTTGTCACGGCGTTATTGCAGAGTTACCATATCTGGCTCAAGCTGTGCATATCTGATGTGATCCTGCACCCTTTACATGTCAGTGGGATTTTATCTCAATAAAGTGGTTTTAAGGATAAAGTACTAAATCTAGTATTCTGTTTACATGGTGTGGAGTGGAGACTGCAGGAGAAGAGATCCATGACTGATGGTGTGGCTATGAGACCGAACACCTAGTGGGAGGTCATATTAAGGTGAGAGCACACTTGGTGGTGGAGACTCACATAAACACCTTTGTGTGGAGCATGGAGGTGGAAACTGTTGCCTGATAAGCAGGGCCATCTTTAAGGAGGAGCAAAATGGGCAGCTGCCCTGGGCGCAGTCATTGTTGTGGGGCCCAAAACAGCTGCCCCATACTTGCCAACTGTCCCAGTTTACATTCCCTTGTCCCTTGAAGTCTTAGCCCTGCAGTGTGTCTGGATATCTCAGTGTGAAGTACTGTCACTTATGCTGCCCAGCTCTGCCCATTGTCATGTATACAGATAGCTCACATGTTCAGACCATGTCAGCATTCATATGTAAATAGTGGCTGCAATGTGACATTCATATGTAAACAGTGGTGGCATTCATATATATATTATGCCCCCCTGAGTTTCCAGCCACCATCACCTCTGCTAAATGCTGCCTACTGGGGAGGTAAACAGGGTCATGCTTGAAAGTCCTGCCTGCAATTGCGGTCATTGAGCCTACCATCAGCTTGTTCTGCAAATATAATCAATGGGTGGGGGGGTGCAGAGGTAGGCATAAAAGGAATGACAGTTAAGGGTGCACAGGTGAGCAAGGAGGGGATGTACAAAGGTAAGGAAGGTGGGTGCAAAGATGAGCAAAGGAGGCATATAGAGTTAAGGTGGGGGGAAGCTGGAGTGGAGAGGATGGGGGAGGTTTGGGGTGCAGAGGTTAGCAGGGAAATTTAGGATGCAAAGCTGTACTGATGGGTTAGATAAAGATGTACGTCATGTGTGGGGCAGTCCATTCATTTCAATG